TTTATCAATAAACCACCTACGTCATTAATCATGACATTTACCCAATTCCTTTTGTTTTGTTTTTTTAATAAGGTCCCACATTGGATCTACTTTTGTCAAAAGGAAGGTCTAAAATTTAATGAGAGATAGCACAGAGCTGTACCTCAAATTATCAGCACGTCTCCCTGTGCTGTAATGACACAGCGTGATGTTACAGGTGTGTCCTTTATCGTTAGAACACAAGCCTTGAGGTAACTGTGCCAATGAAAACTAGCACAGACACTCCTAGCAACTACACACAGCTAACAGTGGATCTGATATTGGAACTACTAAGAGCAAAAACATTCTCCCATGATATGCAGGAAAGAAACCCCACTAACCAATACAGGTGTTCTGCAAAAATTAGAACGGGATACCAAGATACTATGTTAATGGATTTCCTCACATGCCCAGGAGTTGTTGAAAATGATGTGAATATCACCATATGTTCCCTTGCGTATGTGTAACTTTTTCAAGTTTCTAAATGCCATGTTTGTACGTTACTAAAAAGATTCAAAGAAACTAAGAAGCAAACACCATTACTTGTCTTCCACCATAAACAGATAGCCTACCCTAGCTGATTAGATTAATTTCCACTGCTCCATGGTTAGAGAACGAATAGTGCGTTTAGAGTAATGTACTAAAAATACGGTGCAATAAAAGGGACTCTATATTACCAGAGAAAACCATTTTCTTCCGCTTTCTTTGCTTTTTTAATAATATGCTAAATATCTTAATGTGTACAAAAAAAAAAACGTATCAAGTTTCTCAGCAAACTTTGAAGCTGGAGATAAGACTAACATACGCACACAACAAAATGTTTGCACTAAGCACCAGTCATGACTCTGAAATGTGATCATTGCTTGTGGCAATGACATTTCTCTACTAGAACATTTACATGGAAAAAAAACTATTATAGACACTGACACACAAGCCATGCGTTAGCTGTTGTGGGCGACAGGGGTGGTTCTGCGTCAGAGACAGATGACTCATTGGGCGTTTCTTACTCTGTCTGACCAGCCTCCTACATAGATCTGCTTTGGCTATGAGCTATTTAACCATTTCTCTGCACAAGGAAAAGTCCAAGTGATTAAACTAAATAGTAATTGTTAGCCAAATAAGCCAATACCCTCTGAAAAGCTGTTCCCAATGAACCAGTCAGAGGCAAGAGGAGAAGCAATCAAAGCTGGTTCTGAGAGCATACACATTAGGAACTTGAATATATACAGGATAACAGTAAAAGATATAGAGATATAGATAGAGATATACATACATATATATAGATAGAGATATACACACACACATATATATATATTGTTTTGCGTACACCATTCTTTATCTATTAGCCTCAGAGGAAAGTAGACTTCTAATTTGGAGGAAGGTAACTGCTCATATTGAGAGCATAATAACTCCTCAACTCCTCATATACCTTCACACCTTGGGAAAGTTACAAGCAGCAAAAGTATTTCTACAAAATTATACTGCTAAGCATACACTTGCCTATTAACCCTTCTAGTACCATAAATGTGTTACGTAACACATACATGCATCTCTTTATCAAGACATATCATTAAATAGGATATTTGCCACATAATGTCACTTTGAAATTGCCCAAAATTAGTACCTTAATTAGAATAAAAAAATAAATAAAAAATACAAAATAATTCCAAGTGATACAAAGCAGGATCCCACAGGAAGAAGTCTCTGTGCCAGCCTTTGAAGTGGCTTGAATGCAAGGCTTTAATCAACGTAACGTCAGACAAGGCTTGGCGAAGTGTAAGAAGCTACTACAGTGGTACCTCGGTTTACAAACGCCTCAATTAACAATTTTTGGTTTACAAATTAAAATCCATTGAAAATAATACCTCGGTCTACAAAAAATGTTTTCGCAATACAAAGCAAGTTTCCCCAGGATGCATTGAGCCTGGGAGGTTTATAGCGCCGCCCCCATGCATGCTGGAGTCTGTGGGTAGCACGTGGCGTCAAGTGTGGAGGTGTTGGAGCGGCTTTTGCATCGAGTTTTGGAACCATCCTGGAATTTTTTTGTAGCGGTTTTGGGGACGTTTTGGAGCATTTCCCAAGCGGTGGAAAGGTATGGAGCTGAGATTTGTCGTTTGCATGTCTTTACAGTGTGTTAGTTTCCATGCCAGCTCATTATTTTCTGACCTCCAGAACGGATTAATTGGTTTTCACTGCATTCCTATGGGAAACCATGTTTCGGTTTCTGAATTTTTCGCAATATAAAACGTCCCATAGAACACATTAAATTCGTAAAAAGAGGTACCATTGTATTTGTTTTTAATAGTAAATACAAAATTCTGAAAGGAGTTCTCAACCAAAAAAAACTTTTAAAACACAGACATGCTTTTCGGTTTAAGACAGATTCTGTGAAATTTAAAAAAAGGAAGGAAAAAAAACCAAAAAAAAAACCACACCAGGTTATTTCCTTTTGATGTTGTAGTACAAAGATTTAAACAGACGTAGACTAGTAACCCACAACACAAATAGAAACTGAATGCTCCTCCCTTTTTACATTCAGCATAGGAAACCTGCATGTTCAACACGTTGCCTTCTCTGACAGACACCAGGGCACCAATTATCCACCCACCTATGCTAATCTCTACCATGCCCTGCCACTGAGATGTCAGATACCCATTCTCATAGAAAAAAAAAAAGCCATGCTGCCTGCTGTCACGCTCTTCTATGGCTTCCTGTGACAGAGAATGAACATACTGAGAAGTGACCATACTGCACGAAACGAGTTTACTGTACTACAAATGCAAATAATTATGTCACCAAACATGTGGTTTATTATCACAGAGCAAGACAAATTTGATCCTGGCTCTTTAAAAACATTACCGCGCACAGAGGGCCTGTGGGAAGAAAGGGGGGAGAGAAACAACCGTTGCTATCGAGCGGGTAAACACTGTGTGGCTCACCACAGCCAATTGCCGGGCTGGACTTTATTAACTCTTCCAGATCCGAAGGCGGGAGCAGATTAAAATTAGAAAATCTTTTTATAGGCATAGAAACCGTTGGTCAACATGTATAAAGCGAGCCGTACAATCACTGGCTCAGAGTCAAGGTGAAAATGCAAATGTCACATCGATTAACACTATGCAAACCTGACAGTCTCAGAGGTTTGTTTAGTAAACTGGCTTCGGAGAAGAGACCCTAAACCATACATGATCTGCACAGGTGTGGACTCATTAAAATTGCACTGGCATACGTGCATCACACAGAATGCACACTCGAGGCTGTGCATGCATACATTATAATCTAGCAACACGTGATCATGCAATGTAAGCATTTGAAACTTGCTGTCACAAGTTTCCTACATGTAACAAAATCAGCTGCCAACTCAATGAAATATTTGGCCAGGGAAGACAAAAATCAGGATCACAAAAATGTATTAATCACACAAGATTATAAACTAAACTTTTAAATGAACAGGCAAGTAAACCCACTCTTGTAAAAGTAAATATATATATATATATATATATATATATATATATAAAAATAAAAATTACAAGGACATATGGGGGATTCAATTTTCAAGAGAAGACAAAAAAAAAAAAACTGAGCATGGAAGGAGTTTTTTAGTTAACCATATGCTGAATATTTTCAAGTTGAGCAGATGAAAGGATCTTAGTGCAAACTGATTAGGTTCTCTGCAGAGCCATAAACCTGCCAGGAGTGTTAGAAGATTACTGCTGAATGCCCTCCTGCTGAATACCATTGTACTGGGGACTTAAATGAGCCAGAGTGTCTGTAGTAATCAAACAGGGCAAAGGGTATGAACTAGGCTAGATTGCAAATGTCACTGGGATACAAGAAAAAAAAAAAAAAAAAATAGTGTGTGCATTTATGGAGTGCTAACAAAACCACTGTCAGGTTTGAAAAAGTATAGAATGTATTACTTGCAACAAAAACAGAATGTCTGAACACAATTCCAATATTTAACTAAATCTCTGGAACAATGTTACTCCAAAAATGCATGCCTCCTTAAATTAAATTATAAAGTACTCATAAAAAGATAACAAGAAGCATATCACAGCCACCTGAAAAAAAATGCATTATTTTTCACCTAAATCTCACAATAGTAATCATGTTATCCCACATAAAATGTGGCAACTGTATATTTCACACCCCTACACAGTTGAATGCATCTGTATTTTTTATTATTATTTTTTTTACTACACGTATGATCTACTACACACATTTACCTAGGTATACACCCAGTAATAAAAATTTTTAAAAAAAATAGGAACACACCCTGAATTTTTTTTTATTATTTTTTTTTAAATATCTTTCTGGGTAGATCTCTGAATTAAAAAAAAAAAATATATATATATATATATATATATATATATATATATATATATATATATATATATATTTATAAGTCTGCACAAAAGCAGTAAATAATAAAAATCTTATTTTTCATAAAAAAAATGGTCAAATTATTGCAAATTGTTTTAGACATGTCCTGTGTGTGAGCCTTGTGGTTGGACATGTAAGCACACTGGGGCCATGCCATGAAAGCCAGACGATATCTAGCCGTATTTTAATAGTAAATACGCGATATCCCGGTCACACATGTGTATTGATACACAGAGCTCCCCTCCCCCTGCCAGAGGCCTACACCTCCCACCCGATCCCCGGACTCACGTAGATAGGCAGCGGCCAGGGGTAGACGGCAGGCTCGGCTCCCACGGGAGACTTGAGCCGGAGTTCCAACTTCTCGCCCATATCCCGAGAGCATACTAATCCACAGCCGGCAGCGGGGGGGGTTTGCCTTCTATAATGCTTATTCACCTCCCCCCCTTGGCTCCGCCGGGTTCCCGGGTCTCCCTTCTCCTTACAATCGGTGGCTCCCAGGCGCCATCTTGGACCCGGCGCCAAGCAACAATGAGCTGAGGGTTGGGGCAAACCAATTCGTTCGTGGGGGGGTGAGGGGGGTGGTTGAGGGGGGAGTGGGCGGAGCGTAGCGTCATATAACGCCTTCCACAGGAAAAGAAAAAAAATAATTAAATAAATAAATCCTGCGGGTTGTCCTCACATGGCCTCGTAGCCTCAAGTCTAAGGGTTGGGGAATAAACAATGATAACCATATTAAAGGAACCCCCTCCCCTCCCTTTTGTTTTTCTCCTATGTCAGCCGGGAATGGTTGCGTCCAAGGGCGGTGAGATAAGGTCTCTGAACCCTCAGACTGCGCCCAGGGTGTTATAGGCTGCTGGGGGCACCTTATTGCCAGACAGTCGTTGGACTGAACCAAGTCAGCGGCGTGTGGGTGTCCCGTGCGCTTAATGGCGTAAAACTCGTGTTTTGTGTGGTTTTCGCACGCGCTGAGCCCGGTTTAATAATTATCCCCCGCACTCTATAACCTTCTATTCGGGGTTTTCGCCGTGACCTCTCGCTATAGTGAGGTGGAGAAAAGAGGAGGATACACCGAGGAGTCAATGGAGGGATGTTCCAAAGCGTATCCAGAGGGGGGGCCGGTGATACAGCTGACACCCAGGACGTGCAAGGCGTGCTGATTGTAGGGGATCCCAGTGTGTCTGAGTGTGTGTGTGTCACACACACAGCCTCACTGGGAACCATTGTTTGACATTCAGTCCCATTGCTGATTATTTACATACATGTCTGCTAGTGTATTGGGTAGAAAATGTACAGATTAGATGTTATTAATATGAAGAGGATTAGCATGAGTTATAGTGATCTAAAAAGTAGATAATGAAAATTTACGCTAAAATAGCCCCTATCACTGTGTTTAAGATTTTTTTTTTCCCCAAAGTTGTGTATTTTAAAGGAACATTATAGCATTCGATATACAAAGCTGTATTCTTAACACTATACTGTAGTGTCCCTGTCCCAACTCTATTTCAGCCCTCCTACTTGCATTAAAATTGTAATTTTTTTGGGGTGCTATGGTTTCCTCGACGTGGCTCATATCTCCATCTCGCACAACGTCACAGAGGAGGTATGCCCTCCCCGTTTTGGTCCAATCTAATGCTCTTGATAATGGAACACTGAGGACCTAATGCGCATGGGCGTAGAGAGTCCGCAAACATTCAGACTTCCCCATAGCAAAGCATTGAGTCAGTGGCGTCACAAGGAATAATCCCAACAGTAACAGGCAGGACTGAAATAGATGTATTACCAGTCCTTAGAGTGGCCGGTTTTAACATACCTGTATAATAGAGAGGAAACATAGGCAAATATAACCCTAGGTCAGGTTAACAGAAAGATAACGAAAATGAGAACTAGCCAGAGTCAGGTACATGGTATATCAATAGAACTGGTAAACAAGTCAGAAAAGGGTTAAATAGAAACTCGGGATCAGGAACTAAGCCAAGGCCAATATCAGAAATACTACAGAGTAACAAGGAACCACTAAGGGGTACTGAGAACAGAAACCACGATAGGGCACAAAATGTGCGTGAATGGGGACGCGAACTTACGTGAGTCAAGCTGAGCAGGAAATTATGTGAGATCCCCTCGGTGTCTTTAAGAACGCACTCCGAATGCGAGTAGCATTCTAAAGCTCACTCAAACGGTTATTTTGTTCGATGCATGTAGCCTGTTTGGAGGTTCTGGATCGGCTCAAGGACTGGGTATATATCATTATGGTACTCCCCCTGAGGACACACCCTCTGGATGCGGAGGACCAGGCTTGGCTGGAAAGCGTTAATGGAATGAACAAATAAGGCGAGGAGCGTGCACATCAACTGCAGAAACCCAGCTATGTTCTTCAGGACCATACCTCTTCCAACAGACCAAATATTACAGACGACTGCTAAGGAGTCGGAAGTCAAGTATAGCTGCCACCTTATACTCAGCTTAGCCCTAGACAGAGATGGGAGGAGTAGAACCAGGTTTGGTAAACCTGTTACAAACAAGAGGTTTCAACAAGGAGGCGTGTAAAACGTTAGATATACGTATGTTTATAGGTAGATCTAAGGCAACTAAAAACTGGATTAACTTTGCACAGTGTACGGAAAGGTCCAATAAACTAGGGAGCCAGTTTCGTAGAGGGAACTCATAAACGAATAATACCAATAAAAAGCCAGACCTAATCCCCCACCACATAGGAAGGAGCTGCGTGACAATCAGTACATTCTGTCCAGCAGTGGAGTCCACCAAGAGATGTACCTAGGTAAATCAGCTAAATGTTCGTCCTGAACTTACATTCCCTGTGAAGAGAACAACAGTATGCGAGCCATATATTGAATAAAAAGGACTGTTACAGGACAGCACAGAAGACTCATGAGTAGCATTATTACGAGTAAACTCAGCCCAAGGAAGAAGGTCAACCCAATCATCCCAGTGGTGAGAATCAATACCATACTTGTCACATCAAGGGTGGATGGAATCAAACTCACAAAGCTAGAGCCCTGCCAGGCTCTGTTTAATCAGCATATGGGGTGCCTATACAGGCTAAAATGATGAAATGACAGGATACTGGATCAGTAAAAAATATAACTATTTATTTCATATCAATTAAAAGGAATATAAGGACATGGATAAAAAAAAAAGAAGTATAAAATCAAGCAGTGTGTAGAATCACCGCCAGAAGTCCATATAAGTCCAAATTCCAAAGTGCAGTAGACAGCAGACGCGTTTCAGCTTTCACTTTACTCAGTGCTTGTCCATAGCTCTGCTCAGTCCATTTATATATCCTGTCCAGGTTTCAATTAGCTAGCGTTGATTTCCGTATTGCCGATATGACGTAATTTAAAGCAAATATCAAATATATATAACAGAGGAAGAAAATAATCGGAATATTAAAAAACTGACATCAATATGAAGTAAAAACCATCTCAAATATATCATGTATTATTCAAAAAAACTTACATTATGGGAAGAAAAATCTTACAATATAAAAGACCAATGGAAAGATGGTGTTTCAATACAAAAAAAAAATGGAATCGTAGTTAGGGAGACCATAATATCCACTTATGTGATAGGGATAAATACCCACATGTGGAAAATAACAATACATGAGAGATACATAAAAAGTACATAAAAGATAAAAAAAGATACCTAAAGAAGAAAAAAGGAATTCATATGATGGGGGGAGGATAAGAGCACTATGCTGGATACAAAAATAATTAAAGAAAATTAATAAACTCAAAATCTATATTAAGTCCCCTGGGGGACATAGTATCCAGGTTAAAAATCCATCAACTTTCAATTTTATTAAGTTCTTTAAAATTGTCCTCCCCCTCCAATTGATATTCTTTTTTAAAAAGGCCATAAAAAAGAGGTCACTATTGTGTTTGTCTAAAAAATGTGCTGATACACTATGCTTTGTGTATCCCCTCTGGATGTTTCCCATGTGCTCCAGTATGCAGATTTTTAAACTCCTAGTAGTCATTCCCACAAACTGGAGCCCACAGGGACACCAGAGAAGATACACCACATCATTTTAGCCTGTATAGGCACCCCATATGCTGATTATACAGAGCCTGGCATTACTCTAGCTTTATGAGTTTGATTCCATCCACTCTGTTTCAATGTTTATTGTTATTATACAGACAGCACTACGTTTTTATTTTGTCTGTATTTTTCAGATGTATTGAACTTGCTGCTTCAACACACATAAGTATATTTAGTGTGTATTCACATTGGGTGTATACTGCTCTGTATTTTATGGAGATTAATAATTAAGCCCATTTTTATTATATTTAGAATGGGACAAGCACAATCTTCTAATCAAGCCCAAACATGATTTGCGTAACTTAACCATAGGGGAAGGTATTGTGATGTCTGTTATATATGGTCACAAGTAAGGAGTGTACATATCTATGGAATGGAAATATGGTAACACATTTATAGATGCAATTATCTTTTCTGTGGCAAGTACATACAAGGAGATAGGACCAAATGTTTCCATTTTGATTGATGTGGGTCTGGAACACAAGGGGGTGGTCACTTATAGTTACCATAGGTACACCTTATCTCCACCTCTGGGCGAGGCTTGGTAATCCACAGGCTATATATCTAATGATACTTAAGTGTGTATGGACTTGCTTGGGGGCCAGAATCTAATTCTGAGTGAGTCACCATTTTCCTTACCAGAGACCCTCTGGGCAGAAGTTTCACTTTGAAAACCTGAGTAAGTGATTAGGACTTCTGTTATTTTATCCCTTTTGTTTTTATCTGTTGTTGGTGTAACTAATTTGATTATCATCTATTTTTTGTATGCATTGTGACTATTTTTTGCTCATATTAAATATTCCTTTACTAAGTTCTGCCTTTGTCTGGTAAAGAATCACGTTACCTGAAGATACTAATTAGTGCTTTGCAATTGCATAGTTATTGTGCTAAGTTGAATTTGGTGGTTTTTTATTTTTAAGTTACCTGGAGGACCAGGGCACCCCATTTATAAATTGTCTTGGTGGTGGCAGTGTTAAAATAGTAATATTAATATGATTATGGTTAAGTGTGGGTAGTATAAAGGGGGATTTTTATCATTTTTTCCGGTCTGGTGCAGACAAATAGTGAACTTTAACCCTTTCACCACCACAACTACGTCACGCACACTCTTAAAGTAGAGTGCTTTCGTGACAATACTGCTAAAGGGACTGATTGGCACGTTCAGCAACTCCATTAGTCTGGGGGTGGTAGGCAGAGGAAAAGGATGCTCGCACCCGTACGGCCAACTCACGCTTGCAGGACTTTTCGCGGGGGGCTACCTTCCTATGGAATAGCCTGCCTACCACCATCAGACTTTCCCCTAGTCTTCAATCATTTAAGAAGTGCCTTAAAACCCATTTCTTTAGGAAAGCTTATGACCTCCCAGAGTAACCTCTACCTTACATACATGTCTCTTGCGGTCTCCTAAAGGGCAGCACTCTATTCTCTCCTCCAGTCCTACTTCACTCCCACCTTATTTGATTGCTGTTTCCTGTCCTAATGTGTTTTATACCCCACTTCCTATAGACTGTAAGCTAGTTTGAGCAGGGTCCTCTTTAGCCTATTATTCCTGTAAGTTTTCTTGCAATTGTTCTATACGCCCTCTCATACGGAATCTGTTGTCGCTATATAAATGGCAATAATAATAATAATACCCATCTCCGAGCAAAAGGCTCTCCAGTACTGGTAAATAAACTGTCTGCCCTTATCAGAAACAATAGATGCAGGTATGCCATGATGCCAAAACACCTTCTTGGTGAAATATTTGGCAATTCTTTGGAAGAGGGTAGTTTAACTAGAGGTACGATATGAGCCATTTTAGAGAGTCAAATAC